AAAGCATGTCTTTCATGAGGGGTAGAGGGTATAGGTTGCTTTCACTGATTGTATTCAGGGCCCTATAATCCACGCATAAACGTAAAGAGCCATCCTTCTTCTCTCTAAAAAGGACCCGGGCAGCCACTTTAGGCTTGGCTGGCTCAATGAAACCTCTCTCTAGGTTTTTTTTAATGAATCTTTCCATTTCCTCCTTCTCCTTTGGGCTCATGGAGTATAATCTGGGCTTCGGGAGTTTTGCCCCAGGCTTGAATTCAATGGTGCAGTCTGTGGGTCGGTGGGGGGGGAGCTCATTTGCCCTCTCCTCACTGAAAACTTCAGCAAGGTCTCTATATTCCTCTGGTATTTCTGTTAATCTTTTTTCCTCTCCTATGGATGCTTTTTCTATTCTTGATTCTGGTAGCCTCCCTTGGGGTTTTAAGTCCATAGGGTCCCCCTTCGGGAATTTGATTTCTGTCATCCTCCAATTTACCCAGGGGTTCCATTTTTTCAACCATTCCATCCCTAGAATCATTGGGCATTCCATACCTGGGGTCACCACAAACGTTATGTCCTCTTCATGTTTGCCCAGGGAGAGGTGTATTGGTAGAGTGGCTAGGGTAGCTGGCACCCCCCCTGCTATGGATCCATCTAACTGGCCAAATGAGATTGGTTGTTCCAGTCTCCTCGATGGGATGCCCAGATTCCCCACTAGTGTTGGGCTAATGAGGCAGCGGGTGCAGCCAGAGTCTATTAAGGCTTTCACCTTCACAGCTTCGGGCATGGGGGGATTAATATAGTCACTGTTTTGAAGATGGGTATGATGCATCCACTTACCAAGGGTTCGCCCTCCGAGCTGTCATCTGAGGCATCCACCGGCCCTGTGATGTAGGCTGGAGTTTTTTCCCCTTGGTGAGTAGAAGTGGGGGGTTCCACAATTTCCATCATTCTCATGGCATTTTCTTTAGGCTGACTTTCTTTGAAGACTTTCCGGATTTGTTGGTTGGGGATCTGTCTGGGTTGTGCTGGGGGGCTTTGGAGCGGCATTCTACAGCTCGATGCCCTTCTCTTCTGCACTTGAAACACCCCATTTGCTTCTTGGCTGTAGCCGATGATTTCACCGGTTCGTGTGTCAGCTCAGGTGGGGGGCGGCTCCATTGTTTTCCTCGGCGGTGTCTCTTCAATATGTCGATCTCTGCTTCCTCTGCCAAGATGTACCATTCCTCAATTTGGTGTGGGTCCCCTCGGGGCAGGCAAGCGTCATATAGATCATAATTTAGTCCATCTTTGAAATGGCTAAGGAGGATGTCTTCTGGCCAATTCAGTTTGCTGGCAATGGCCCGGAATTCTTCTGTATATTCAGCCACTGGGCATTTGCCTTTCCCCTGTCCCATGCATCATGCCACATCCAACTGAAACCCAGTTGATAGGTTTCAATTGGTCACATGCTTTTCCGACTGCCCAGCAACCATTACAATTACCAAGCCCTCCAATTATTAGATCAAAAGCCCCTTTTGTTCCTGTCTTATCTACCCTCCCTTTTCTGTGGCATGATTTGTAACATCCTGCTAACTAAGGGTATAGCTTATTTACAAGGTGAACTGTTACCCAAACTGGATAATTGCAAATGTAAAGGATTTATGTCTTCCGTTGTTTATCTACAAGAGTTCCTGCTTTTCATCTAGAAGCTATGTGTATAATAAAGTTCATGCTTCGTGTTCTGTTAGTTGGTAAGGGATTTGAGACGAGGCAGGAGTAACAACAGTTGCTTCTTTATTCAGTCTTCAACAGAACAACACAGAATGGCACGGATCCCTTTTATATCCTTTTGCAGGGAACAGCGTCAACCAATAATTGCAACGTATTTTCCTGCTTCGCGCGTGCACAATAGGCTGGAGACAGCCTGTCTGGCCTGGGCAGCCACATGGTCTGCCCGAGTCTCCCTGCAGCTTCCTGCACCTGCTCTGTCAATCACAGGCCCAGGACATAACACTTCGGTTAAACATGGCTGCACTTTGGTTCATAGTTATACTTTAAAATACTAACTCTAGACAGTTTTTATAAAGAATAAACCTTATATAAATTGAATATGCTATTTTAAAATAGTGTGCACTATTGTAAAAATATGCTTTAAGTCAGTGTATATAGTTTCCCTCTATTTCTCCAGCTTACTACCTCTTCTTTCCTAAAAAATACCTTAGTTAAGTGCCTCTATATGCCTATTCCTTTAGCAGAAATGAAAAATTGTAACATGTACATTTATTGTGTACCTCATACTTCCATATTTTATTTTTATCCATTTTAATTTGTTTGATTAAGCCATGGTATAATAATGTACCTGAGTTGGTATTAACTAGAATTAACTAGGTTTTAAAGTAATACTGTGCTGAACTGTCCTCTATTCTTTGACCATTTTCTTCATCTAAAAAGAGGCTCTTCTTTATCTCATTTGTGAGATGCATTTGAAATTTATTTACAAAATTCAAGGCATGTTTGATTTTACTATACTGTTATGCTATGAATGGTGGTAGGGAAGCTGGCATCCACTACATGACAATCTCATTATTCCTGTCCTTTGAATTACAAAATAAACATTGAATAATTTTTAGAAGAAATTATCTAAATTATACAAACACTGCAGTTCCAAAAGTTTGCAAACACTTATGAAGAATCTTGGTTATTATTGTGAGGAATAAAAATTCAACTCCAAGGGTGTTGGAAAACAAAACAAGTTTTATTAAAGCTTTTGCAAAGGCTGTGGAACTCTTGGTAATGGCAAATCCCAGAGTCCACACTTAAATCAATTTTTGCATAGCTTTTTATATCCTGTCCTGTGCATCACGCCACATCCTTCCAAAGTGAGCCCATTTGATAGGCCCACTAGTCACATGCTTTCCGACCACCTAGCAACCATTACAATTATCAGACCTTCCAATTATTAGATCAAATGCCCCTTTTGTTCCTGTCTTATCTTCACTCCCTTTTCTGTGACATGATTTGTAACATCCTGCTAACTCTGGGGTATAACCTTATCTACAAGGTGAATTGTCACCCATACTGAATAATTGCAATTATAAAGGATTTATGTCTTCCCTTTTTTTTTTAAGAATGCCTGCTTTGCATCTAGAAGCTATGTGTATAGCAGAGTTCATGCTTTGGTTAAACATGACTGCACTTTGGTTCATAGTTATATTTTAAAATATTAACTCTAAGCAGTTTTTATAAAGAATAAGCCTTATATAAATTGAATAATATGTTATTCATAAGCTATATGCTATTCTTCAATAGTGTGCACTATTCTAAAAATATCCTTTAAGTCAGTGTATATAGTTTCTCTCTATTCCTCCAGCTTATTACATCTCCTTTCCTAAAAATACCTTAGCTAAGTGCCTCTATATGCCTATTCCTTTAACAGAAATGGAAAATTACAACATATACATTTCTTGTGTACCTCACATCATGAAGTATAATTAAACTTAGTACAGGCATAATGCCACATCAGAGTATAAGAAACAGAAACGAAGGGATCATGAAATTATATGCCGAATTACAATTATTGTGAAAAGGTTCTTTTTAAAAACTAATCTGTTTTAACAAATCCCCCTTGCTGAAATGCAACAAAGCTTGCCGTTTTTCCTATAGCAGTTGTTTTGATTTGAAATGAATGAAAAGCTTTGAAAATAGCTCATTGTGCTCATGACTGTTTTGGAAAGACTTCAGTTAAAGGATGTGACGTCCCTTTTTTTGGAGACTAGGGAGTAGCCATTATGCCGTGTGAAACTGATCCCTGTGAAAAACCTCTCTATTCACTGATCAGTCCCATATGGGCAACCGAATGTCAACTGATGTAATCAGCGAGAAGCTCAGGGTTGAGAAGGGAAGCAGAAATACGCGTGTAGAGTTATCCATATTGTTTATGTTAAACTGCTCCCCTCCCCCCCGTAGGCTTACAAGTACGCATGAGCAGATAGGATTAATGCGAAGAATTCGTTATTAGCGTCCAGCAGAGTGAAGTTCAGCGTTCTTGAAAAAGTAGGAATAAAGTGTGCCCTCCACCCAAGCTGTCTAGTTGCTATTGTGGCTGCTGCTGCTTTATCTCTTGAGAACTGATGAGATTTCTCCAGGTACTATATTAACTCATTTTCTCAGATTAAATATAGAAGTAATTTGAAAAATATACTAGTGGCACTGAAAGATAAACTTGTGATAGAGTTTAAAATAGATTGGTTTGATAACATTTATTACAGGTTTTTCTGCACCAAATGCTTATTTTAAAAAATACTTCTTTGGACATGAATGATAAGCATGCAAGAAATACTTTTTTTAAAGCTGCTGTTTTAATTGCTAATTCAATTCTAAAAAAATGGAAGTTACCTTTTTCTTTTTTTCTGACTAATGTGCTTCTGAGAGGCCATGTTATCTAAAAGAAAATTGAATCGTATTCATGCAATATGCTTAGATTGATGCGAATAGGAGGAAGATCTTTTTTACTTCGTCAAAGAGATTCTGTGCATGCATTGCATATGTGCAGGAGTGCTGTTAACCGGACTGGGCTGATTGAGGCAAATCATCCCTGTGTCACTTGTTCAATGATTCACCTGCAGGATCTTCTCTTGTCAGCCTTGAAAGGTAGTCCAGACAAGAAGCACATCCAGAAGCAAAAGCTCTAACTTTATTGTATGGTTATGTATGTTGAAAGTACATTTCTCATTGACCTTTGCAGTCAATGACACTAGTGAGGGTCCCTTCTGAGACATTTGCCATACCCCCATTTCATCTGTGGGCTCAGCTGCCTCTGGTTTCTTATCTAGTTTATGGCTTTTCCACTTGTCTCCCAAGCTCATTCCCACATACCATTACAACATCCCTCTCTTATTCATGTATTCATAATTTTATATACATTTCAAAACATATAATTTCATAAACTCTCTCTCTCTCTCTCTCTCTCTCTCTCTCTCTCTCTCTCTCTGTGTGTGTGTGTGTGTGTGTGTGTGAGAGAGAGAGAGAGAGAGAGAGAGAGACAGAGACAGAGAGAGAGAGAGAGAGAATATGCTGCATCCATCTGTTGAAATATCTGTGGAACTTCTATAATGTGTACCTGTAACTTTTCCAGGAGATTTTAGTGACATGCAAAGATAGCCATCAATAAATGAGAGGGCACTGGATTTTTTTTTTTTTTGTCTTGATCACTTTTATTGTGAGAAGGTACCTCTCTGTGGATTGTGTCTGACAGGCTATGTATTCAAAGAATATGACATGGAAATGCCTATGGTGTGCATGTATTATGCCTACATTGACATTTATCTTCTAAAAACTTAGTAACATTTATGAATAGAGATTTGGAAAACAAGGAGTTTTACAATTAGCAGCACATTTCGGTGCAATGCCTAGCAATCTTTTAGACTCTACTTTTAGCAATTCCAGGCAGCATGAGGAATGATAGGTTTTATTGTTAAACACAGTGGGAAGTGATCAATCTGCAAAAGGAGCAACACTCTAAAAGCAGGGGTGTCAAACTGCCAGCCCACGGACCAGATGTGTCATGCCAAAACCACGCCCACCCCAGCTCCGGCAATGAGGAAAAAGTTGCAATACGTCATGACACATCACGTGATGTGGCGAGTTTGACACCCCTGCTCTAAAAGTCTGAATAAATTGAAAAACATTCCTATATGAGGAAATACGAAGTAATTTGTTTTATCTGGGCAGAAGCATGGTAAAGAAATTAATCCCTCTTTCACCATTAAAAGATATCCATAAAAAAACTGAGGAAGAAAAAAAGAGAAAAAATTTAGTTTTCAACAGATTTCATAGACTGAGATCATCTCTGAATAAACTTTGAAGGTATTTAATATTTATAGCATGTCAATACAATTTCCAATTATCTGGATTTTTTCTAATATTGTCATGTTTTTCTCTAGTCTCAAATTTCTCATTCTCAGTATCTATAACTTGACTTTCCTGGAAGAGATCATGGAGTGTTGTGCACATTTCTGGTAAATGAAACAAACATTTTCTTTGTTAATTTACTAATGTCTCAGTAAAAATGTGTAATCTGGCACAATTGCATTCTTATGAACATTAGGTTTAATACTTTTCAATTTATTACAATCCAGTACAATATGGAAATCAGCAAAGAGGGCCCATTATTCACCATTAACTCCTTTAAAGAACAATACATATAATTCAAAGAAAGCTGGCCATAGTGACAGTAAGTGAAAGGCTACATATCTGGGATCCTTGTTTGATTAGTCATTTTGTTTTATTTCACAGAACCTAATTATATATACTGAGTAATTTATCTGCATCTGCTTTAAAAAAAATGATAATACACTGATAAGAAAGAAACAAGAGAAAATAAACTCTAGTATAAACCATTGAAGCAACAAAAAGTGATCTCACAGGACTTAAGAATGATGATGTAAGAAATAACAGTGTTTGCAGAAAAGCAAGCCTCTGGAGTGGGAGTGAGAGTGAGGCTTAGTAACTAGCAGCAGAATTCTCTATCATTTACTATAGGCGGGAGTATCAAACTGGTGGCCTGCAGGCCATTTGCGTCTTGCACAGGCCATGCCAGCTCTGCAAAGGCAAAAAACGTCGCAATAGTCACAATATGTCATGTGATGCAATCGAGTTTGATACCCGTGCTATAAGGAATTAGAGATATAGCCCCTGAGCTGCCTAAATTCAATAACTTCTCAAGGCAATTGCCATTTGTTCAACTGTTGCAACCACTTCAGAAGGCTGCTAGGAAGAGATCCTTAAAAATGACAGTATTAAAGTCTTCGTATCCAGGCAAACTTTCCTGACAGCCCAGACTGTAATTTGAACCTTTGAATATTTAACTGCAATAGAGAAAAAAGTGGAGCTTCTGAAAGAGTTATTTGATGCCTTCATGCCTAATTATCAGAGATTATTACTGCACAAAGTCCTTTATCTAAAAATAAGATGCTTACCAGTAGTCCTTGATGTACGACCACAATTGATGGCTAGAAAACAAGAAAATGTATTGACTCCTTCCATAACACTTTCTGAGATCAGAAGACCTGAAGCCACCATCAAATCTGCTTTTGATATATCAAATGTTTTTATATAACACTATCATATAATTTTCATCATTTCAGTATTCAATTAATTATAGATTTATTTGTAGATTGTACTGACAATTTTTAAAATTTTATTTTAGCTATTTTTTATTACATTATATTTTATAATATTTTTTTTTATCATTGATTTTACACAATTATAAAATACTGTATTATAGTCTGCTGCATTCTGGATGTAATCAAGTTTTAACTATCACTTGTATTTTCGTAATCTCAACCAGACATTTTAGCAGAACCATGTTTTCATAGTTTATTAGTAATTCTAACATTCACAATGAGATCATTAAAAATTGCATCACTTATCTCATGCTGAAATAGAGATTACTGCTACAGTTCATGGGATGTTGATTTAATGATATTTGGAATAACATTATAATACACCTTTAATTTTGACCATTTTAGCAAGAGCTGCGTGAAGTAATATGTTAAAATATACCCTGTATATTTGTTTTTATTCCAGCTCTTAATTTACAAGTTTTTAAACTGTTGTGTACATTAGAAAGAAGGTGGTGTCAGGGATATATATGTGTGTGTGGGGTGTGTGTGTGTGTGTGTGTGTGTGTGTGTGTGTGTTTTCTGAGGTTTTCGTGGGTGTTTGTATGTAGATCTTTGGTTATTCGGGTTTTCTCCCGTGTAAAATTGGAAGTGTCTTGACGATGTTTTGACGAAGTCCCATTCGTCATCTTCAGGCTGGTGCTTTTGGCTTCGTGCTTCAAGGAGCAATGTGTTGTCTTAGCTGTTTCTTCCTTTTGACTGCCAGTGGGGGTATGAACTGATTGGGTGGGAGCTTGGCTGTGTTCTGATTGGGTGGAAGTGTGTTCTGATTGGTTAGGGGCTTGGCTGGGCTCTGATTGGCTGGGGGGGTTGGCTGTGCTCTGATTGGCTGGGGGGTTGGCTGTGCTCTGATTGGCTGGGGGAGTGTTCTGTTTGGGTGGGGGCTTTGTTGTGCTCAGGTTAGTCTGAGTTGCAGGAGGGTTTGAGATGGTGAGCTGCATTGCTGTTGTTTGGCTTCGCGTTCGTGGTCGTGCCTCATCTTCATGGTGGATGTCAGTTTGCTTCATGTATGGATTGGAGGGGTTTAAAGTGGCTAATGATGCAGCTGTGGTCTGGCTTCTGGTTTGTGGTCATGCCTCATCATCGGTGTGGGTTTGGGTTTGCTTTTTGTGTGGATGTGTGGTGGTGACATCCTCTGTGGTTTTTGTGAGTGTGGGTCTGGGGTCATTCTGTGTGTTAGGGACTCGTTTGTCAATAAGGGCGGGTTTCCAAATGGCTGGTAGGCAGGAGGTATCATCTCGTTTGTTCATACTGTGTGGGTGTTTTTCTATCTCGGTGGCTTCTCTGATTATTCTGTTATTAAAGTGTTCAGTTTTGGCAATAGTTCTGGTCTTTTTAAAGTCAATTTTATGTCCTGTGGCTTTAAGGTGTTGGAACAGGGAAGAAGTTGGTTCCTCTTTTTTGACTGAGTTTTTGTATTCTTCAGTGCATGCACTTATTCTTCTGTTGGTTTGTCCGATGTATGTGGTGGGGCAAGCGGTGCATGGGATTTCATATACTCCTTGATTTTCTAACTCAATTTTGTCTTTGGGGTTTCTTAGGAAGGTGGATATTTTTCTGTTTGTGCAGAATGCTGTCTTGATGTTGTGTTTGTGAAGGATCTTGCTGATTCTGTCTGTGGTGCCTTTTATGTATGGGAGGAGGGCTTTGCCGTTTTCTTGTTCTCTGTCTTGGATTTTAGTGGGGGTTTCTTTTTGGATTAGATTGGTAATCTTATTTCTTTGGAATCCGTTGGATGTTAGTACATTAGTGAGAGTGTGTAGTTCGGTTTTTAGCTGTTGTTCGTCAGCTAAGCGTTTTGTTCTGGAGATTAGTGTCTTGGCTACGGAGTTGATCTGTGCTGGGTGGTGGTGTGAGTGCATGCAGATAGTGGTTTGTGTGTGTTTTCTTCTGATAGATGGTGTGTTCTAGGGCACCATTGGATTTCTTGTAGACTAAGACATCCAGGAAGGGAAGTTGGTTATTAGCTTCTGTTTCCATGTATTTTGGGGTGTAGGCTGTTGAGGTGTGTGAGGAAGTTGTCCAGTTTTTCTTTCCCATGTGGCCAGATTATGAAGGTGTCGTCTACGTATCTCAGCCAGAGTTTGGGTTTGTGATCAGATTTTTCTAGAACTTGGGTTTCAAAGTGGTCCATGTAGAGGTTTGCAATGACAGGTGAGAGGGGTGATCCCATGGGTGCTCCTGCTATTTGTTTGTATTTTTGTCCGTTATAGATGAAGTATGTGTTGGATAGGCAGTGGTTTGTCAGACCTAGGATGTGTTTGGGGGGGTTATATTTTTTTGGATAATTTTCAAGGCTTCTTTGATTGGCACTTGGGTGAAGAGGGATATGACATCGAAGCTCATGAGTAGGTCGCTGAGCTGTATACGTATATGTCTGTTCCCTGCTCCCTCACAGCCACACATGAAACAAACAGTGCATAACATCTCAGATAGGATCCTCACCAAAGCCGAAACCAATGTCCTTTCTAAAGGATTCAACTTTGTAGTCGCTCCCAAACACATCCCCATTGAAACCATTATATGCGGAGTTGAAACCAGCCTGACCAAAATCAACCCCGACGATGGTAACAGAATCAGACTCAAAATCACCAACATCCTCTGCACCAGCAAGCCACCCAAAAGTAACTTACACAAAGAGGAACAGACAGCACTACTTAATCTGAAAGAAGACACCAGCATAATAATTCTACCAGCAGACAAGGGCAACACCATGGTGGTTACTCCAACCTAATCCAAGACTCTACATACAAACTGCTAAACACAGATCCCACCACCTACCTGGAAAAAACCACCAGATCCAAAATAAAAGCCTCCCCCATTAGCGAAGAGATCCAGCAAAGAATCATTCCCAGAGAGAAATCATCCAGATGCCCTAAGCTCTATGGTCTCCCCAAGAAACACAAAGAAGGAATCCCACTTAGACCCATAGTTAGCTCCTTAGGCTCACCTCTACAAAACCTAGCCAAATTTCTCACCAAACAACTACAGTTTTCTGCAACTAATGTAGTTGCAGAAAACAACTACATAAAAAACTCATTCCGGTTCATAGAGATCATAAAGAAACAAAACTTACAGCCCAGCGACCTACTCATGAGCTTCGATGTCATATCCCTCTTCACCCAAGTGCCAATCAAAGAAGCCTTGAAAATTATCCAAAACAAATATAACCCCCCCCCCCCAACACATCCTAGGTCTGACCAACCACTGCCTATCCAACACATATTTCATCTATAACGGACAAAAATACAAACAAATAGCAGGAGCACCCATGGGATCACCCCTCTCACCTGTCATTGCCAACCTCTACATGGACCACTTTGAAACCCAAGTTCTAGAAAAATCTGATCACAAACCCAAACTCTGGCTGAGATACGTAGACGACACCTTCATAATCTGGTCACATGGGAAAGAAAAACTGAACAACTTCCTCACACACCTCAACAGCCTACACCCCAAAATACATGGAAACAGAAGCTAATAACCAACTTCCCTTCCTGGATGTCTTAGTCTACAAGAAATCCAATGGTGCCCTAGAACACACCATCTACCAGAAGAAAACACACACAAACCGCTATCTGCATGCACTCACACCACCACCCAGCACAGATCAACTCCGTAGCCAAGACACTCATCTCCAGAACAAAACGCTTAGCTGACGAACAACAGCTAAAAACTGAACTACACACTCTCACTAATGTACTAACATCCAACGGATTCCAAAGAAATAAGATTACCAATCTAATCCAAAAAGAGACCCCCACTAAAATCCAAGACAGAGAACAAGAAAATGGCAAAGCCCTCCTCCCATACATAAAAGGCACCACAGACAGAATCAGCAAGATCCTTCACAAACACAACATCGAGACAGCATTCTGCACAAACAGAAAAATATCCACCATCCTAAGAAACCCCAAAGACAAAATTGAGTTAGAAAATCAAGGATTATATGAAATCCCATGCACCGCTTGCCCCACCACATACATCGGACAAACCAACAGAAGAATAAGTGCACGCACTGAAGAATACAAAAACTCAGTCAAAAAAGAGGAACCAACTTCTTCCCTGTTCCAACACCTTAAAGCCACAGGACATAAAATTGACTTTAAAAAGACCAGAACTATTGCCAAAACTGAACACTTTAATAACAGAATAATCAGAGAAGCCACCGAGATAGAAAAACACCCACACAGTATGAACAAACGAGATGATACCTCCTGCCTACCAGCCATTTGGAAACCCGCCCTTATTGACAAACGAGTCCCTAACACAAAGAATGACCCCAGACCCACACTCACAAAAACCACAGAGGATGTCACCACCACACATCCACACAAAAAGCAAACCCAAACCCACACCGATGATGAGGCATGATCACAAACCAGAAGCCAGACCACAGCTGCATCATTAGCCACTTTAAACCCCTCCAATCCATACATGAAGCAAACTGACATCCACCATGAAGATGAGGCACGACCACGAACGCGAAGCCAAACAACAGCAATGCAGCTCACCATCTCAAACCCTCCTGCAACTCAGACTAACCTGAGCACAACAAAGCCCCCACCCAAACAGAACACTCCCCCAGCCAATCAGAGCACAGCCAAGCCCCCTATCCAATCAGAGCACAGCCAAGCCCCTAACCAATCAGAACACACCTCCACCCAATCAGAACACAGCCAATCAGTTCATACCCTCACTGGCAGTTAAAAAGGAAGAAACAGCTACGATCACACATTGCTCCTAGAAGCACGAAGCTAAAAACACCAGCCTGAAGATGATGAATGGGACTTCCTGATCTCCTTCTATTCTAACTCTGATGACGCTGGCAGTTTTTGGCCGGACGAAAGCTTAGTGACTTTTCTTAACCACAGGCCTGTTTATATTAAACAAGCTGGTTTATTATATTCTGGTTTTTGTTTTTTCTTTTATTTGTTAACATAATGCCCAGGATTCGCATTTTTAGTATTTTAAAAGACACACACACACACACATATCACAAAATAAATCAATTACGATCGCCAGGAAAATCCAAATAAGAGAAATTTTAATAAAAACCAAGCTTTCATCAGAAACTTACTTCATACACTTAGGAACAGGAAAGGCCTGGGTACTGGTGTCATGGATACATTTAGAGTGCAATCTAATCAGCTGGAACCGATGACACGGTCCAGAAGCCGGATGCAGGCACTTGGTGGTCTTATATAAGTTTTTCCCATTGATTGGCTTTAACCCTGACGATGTCAGAAATTTCCGATGAAAGCTTGGTTTTTATTAAAATTTCTCCTATTTGGATTTTCCTGGTGATTGTAATTGATTTATTTTGTGATATGGACGTACGCAGGAGTCATATTTTTACTGACATTACATGTATGTATGTATGTATGTGTGTATGTGTGTATGTGTGTATACGTATATGTATATGTATTGGTCTTTGGTTGTTCGGGTTTTCTCCCGCGTAAAATTGGAAGTGTCTTGGCGACGTTTCGACAAAGATCCATTCGTCATCTTCAGGCTGGTGTTTTCAGCTTCGTGCTCCTCGAAGCACGAAGCTGAAAACACCAGCCTGAAGATGACGAATGGGACTTCATTGAAACGTCACCAAGACACTTCCAATTTTACATGGGAGAAAACCCGAATAACCAAAGAGTTACATACAAACAACCGCAAAAACCTCAGAAAACATATATATGTATGTATGTATGTATGTATGATAATAAATACAGCCTGTTCAGTCATCTTTTTAAATGTCTACTTTAAACCAAGTAGAATAACAAATTATCGATTCTGACTTTGCCTCTTCTGTTTTCTGATGTTCACTATGGGTGGCAAAGAAATTAATTAAATCCATACTTGAGATTCAAAACTTATAGTTTACTGAATGTTGCAATGCAGCCTATAATGTTTTTAAAAAATGTATTAGGGAAAAGAATTCTTTATGGAAATATAAAACATCACTTGATTGAAAACTTCAAAAACTATCTTGGGCAAAAGTGAAGAGAAAAACGTGCTTGTAGAACTGCACTGTTCCATGCTAGTAGTGAACTTCTAAGACATCTGTGTTTTAGCAATCCACAGCTGAGACTCATCACACACATTATTCTTTAAATCCTTAAGTTCAGATGGTTTTTTTCTACCTGATGTGGCTTCACTGCTTTCTAGTCTGATGCATTCTGATTTCAATAAGAAAATGTGAGACAATACTTTATGATTACCTTCAGGAATCAAAAAAAAAAAAAAAAAACAAAACAGGTCTCTCTATTTACATTAATGTCCCTGAGACTGAAAAATAGCATATTCCTTTGATACAATTTAGTCCATTGTTGGCTTCTGCAGTTTTATAGCCATCTATAAATTTTATTATGTATGAAGAACAGCCTTCCTTGAGATCTTGCTAAAATGTCTAACTGTTCTGTCATCTTTTTAGGAGATACCCAATTTTAGTTTTAATTTTCTACTTGGTACTGAAGCCAAGTGAATCTCATGCTTTGATCAGCTACAAGCCCAATATTGTAATCTTATTGGCTGATGATCTAGGCATTGGGGATCTAGGCTGCTACGGAAATACTACAATGAGGTAAAATCTTTCATACCAATGCTGTATTTTATTTATTCGTTTGTTTATTTGATTGATCCAAGTGCATGAAATATTTGGGAAGTTTATGGGGACATAACATATAATTGTAATATAAATATAATTATAAGACTATTATATGTATTTACTGGATAAAAAAATATGGGTTTTCCCTCTAAATTTTAATTGTAAATTAAATTAATTGGACTGATCGATCAGCTTTTATCCCATAATGGTAATAGAAACAGCTGTTGAAACAGCTGTGCAATGTTTCAGATCCTGCAGGGCAGGTCTTCAAACTTGGCCCTTTTATGACTTGTGGCCCTCAACTCCCAGAATTCCTCAGCCAGGCACGCTGGATGAGGAATTCTGGGAGTTGAAGTTCACAAGTCATAAAAGGGCCACGTTTGAAATCCCCTGCTGCAGGGGCTTTTTACATGGCATCTGCCTATACTGCCTTCACATCCAAAGATCACCAAATATTAGCCACTGCTTCCAAAGGAGTATAATCTTATTATTAGCTTTTTCTATTGTACAGAATTTCTATCTCTGTTTTACCTCCAGTACCCAAGTTGTCCCATTGCTAGAAGGTCTAACAAGAATGTTCATGTGCATACTTGTATGTTTCTAGATTTAAGTAAATTTTGACACATGCAAGAATGCTGTTTTTACAATGGGCTAATTGGTTTCTATTTCCCCCCCCCAACTATTCAATTGAAACATGTGTTGACATCTTTTCTTAGGACTCCTAATATTGATCAGTTAGCAAAAGAAGGAATAAAACTTACTCAGCATGTTGCTGCAGCACCCCTTTGCACACCAAGCAGAACTGCTTTCTTAACTGGAAGATATGCAATCCGATCAGGTTTGTTATGGAATATTAATGTCTTTTGCTAAGTAAAGGTTGGGCTAAATAATTGGTTGAGCTACACCATATATTCCAAGAGTAGAACAGCTTTCGCCAAATTAGTACCCTCCCAATGTTTTAGATTACTATTCCAAAATATGTAACCCAGCCTATCTGGAAGGCTGTTGAAGATTAATTAAATTTACCGTTTTTCTCATTTTCCACCAAAGTTTTCAACATTAACTGCCTACATAGTTCAACTACATAGTTGAACCCAAAACTAGATTCCCTTCCCTCAGATACAAAGTAACAAGTTGCAAGTTCCACCCCCACGAAGCAGTCATAAATCACATTCTCCAATTAGCCAGGAGCGCAGGCTCTTTCCCCAAGTCCTCAGTCCACCAAAATGTTATCGGTTTGTGTCCTTGAGTTCCCACAGAGCTGCATTATTATTATGGCTAGCTGAGCTCAAGCATTCTCCCCATCTCCCCTTCAATACCTGATTTCTAAACAGAAGAAAAAGAACTTTAAAAGCGAAGTAAAAATGGCTGCAATTTCCATCAGTTGTCAGAGCAGGAACATCCATTGTTACAGCGTTGACATCCGGCCCCCCTTTACAAAAAGGATAAATTCTGCAATTCAAACAAAACCATAGGTTAGGGGTTGCCTCTCGGTTTATTAGGGTGCTTATTATAGAATTTACGAATGAGCCTGTCGGCTTTTACATCACTAGATTTTACCCAAGTGGTTCGGATAATGAGTATCGTTTCCACTGTACTAAATACTGCAACCCTCCCTTGTAAAGTCTAGAATCAAGAATACGTTTCACTTCATAATGGGTCTGTCCGGCTACCACCAGCAGGCCAGGTGCCTTCTTAGGGAGAAGAGTAGAACCCCGAAAAGGTTTCAATAGGCTACAATGGAACACAGGGTGGACTTTCCCTAAGAGTCTGGGAAGCTTTAACTCCACCGTAACTGGATTTATGATCCTTACGATGAACAAGGGACTGAGGTATTTTGGCCCCAATTTCTTACTAGGCAACTTGAGTTGTAAATATTTTGTGGATAAGTAAACTTTTTGCCCAACCTGGAACGACCTTTGGGGAGCCTTCTTTTTATCCGCTTGTTTTTTATATGTCTCAGAAGCCTTTTTCAGAGTGAGTTTCATTTTGTCCCAAACCTCTCCCCACCTCTTCACCCATTGGTCAAGAGTTTGGGAAGCAGAGGGTCCCTGAGGATACTCAGGTATTGGGTTGAATTCTTTTCCCGTGACAATCTTAAAAGGTGTAAAACTGGTGCTGCTGTGAACAGTGTTATTATAAGCCACCTCTGCGAAAGGGAGGAGGTCAGTCCAGTTCATTTGCTAATAATCCACATAGCATCTGAGGGACTGCTCCATCATTGAGTTTGCTATTCCAGCCGCCCCATTCGTAGATGGGTGAAAAGCCGACGACAGTCCCTGCGATGAGCCAATTTAGTTTGAGAAAACCCCTCCAGAATTTGGCTATAAATTGCATTCTCCTGTCAGAGATTATTTGCTTTGGCACCCCGTGCAGCCTGTAAATGTGCTTAAGAAATAGCTAGTTTCTGGGCCGACAGGAGTCCTTTGCAGGCAATGAAATGAGCCTGCTTCGAAAAAAGATCAATCACAGTCCAAATCACCATATTTCCTCTACTCAGGTAACTGAACTATAAAATCCATAGCAATTTCTTCCCATGGCTGGGAAGGGTCCGTGACCAGTTGTAATAATCCAGGGGCTTTCCTGGAATCCTCTTCATGGTGGCACATACTGCACAGCTTTTGACGTAGTTCTCTACATCCCGTTTCAAACCTGGCCACCAAAATTGCCAACAAACAAAATGCAGTTTTTTTAAATAGCCGAAGTGTCCAGCTTGCTTCACTTCGTGATCATGCTGGAGAGCATTGAGGCAGAGGGCTTCGGGCAAATACCACTTCTCCCCTTTGTAGGTTAATCCGTCCCTACACGTCAGGGTGGCTTGATTGTCCTTGATCATTGAGGCGTTCCTATTTTAGTTTTCTTGTCCCAGGATTGCCGGGGTTTCGGGCTGTCAAAGATGGGGCTCTTGGCGTTAATTGAGACGCAGCTTGCAGTGTGGGTATGATTGATTCATTAATCTCTTCACGCTGACTCTTGTATTGAGGCAATCTGGATAGAGCATCAACTAAAAAGTTTCTCCCTCCTGGTATGTACTTCAGGGTGAAGTTAAACTGGTTAAAATACTGCGGCCACCATACTTGTATCGGGGAAAGCTTGCAAAGAGTTTTCAGTGCCTCTAAGTTTTTGTGATCAGTCCATACTTCGAAAGGCACCTTGCCTTTCTAGGTAGTGCCGCCAGTTTAACAGAGCCCAAAGAATTGCAAAGGCTTCTTTCTCCCACACTGCCCACCTTCTCTCACAGTCAGTGAACTTTTTTGAGGTGTAGGACAGGGCTGCAGGACCCCTCGTGGTTCTTTTGCAACAGTAAAGCTCCGACGGCCATGTAGCTGGCATCAGCTTGCATCACAAAGGGCTTCCCTGAGCAGGGATGCTTTAGGACTGGCTCAACCGCAAATAGTCTTTTCAGATTCTCAAAAGCAGTTTGACAGTTCATAGTTCATGTTAGCGGCTGGCTCAGTCACGGCTTTCCCCCATCTTTGCCGGTTTTTAACAAATCCATGAGAGGTAAAGCAATTTCGGCAAATGAAGGGATGAATTGTCGGTAAAAATTGGCAAACCCCAGAAAGCTTTGAAGCTGTTTGTGAGTCTTTGGGGGTTGCATTTGATTACAGTTCTCACTTTCCCAGGATCCATTTCAATACCCTCACTGGAAATTCTGTAGCCCAAATAATCCAATCTGGTCTGATGGAATTCACACTTCGACAATTTAACATATAGTTTGGCATTCAATAATTTCTTTAACACCTCTCGCACTAGCTTTACATGGTCAGCTATATTATTGCTTTATATCAGGATAAGCAAACCCCCTTGTATAAATGATCATGTAGCACCTGGTTGATCAGCTGCATGAAGACAGCTGGAGCACTCTGTAGTCCAAATGGCATAACTTTGAACTGGTAGCTGCCCATAGGACAGTTAAAAGCGGTCTTCCATTCATCTCCTTTTCTTATTCTCACTCACTAGTATGCTTCTCTTAGGTCCAATTTAGTGAAGATGCTCCCTTTTGCAAGATGGGTTAGTAGGTCCTTCAGGAGGGGGAGGGAATATTTGTTTTCTATACTCACAGCATTTAACTCTTTATAATCCACGCAGAGATGAAGCAACCTGTCTTTTTTTCTCTTTAAATAACACTGAAGCCCCCACCTGGGATTTGGCCAGCTCAATGAAGCCTCTTGCTAGGTTTTTGTTCACATATTGCTGTAGTTCATCCATTTCGAGGGAGGTCATAGTGTACATTCTCGGCTTTGGGAGTTTAGCACCTGCTAATAGTTCATTTGGCTGATGGGGTGGTAGGATGTTGCACTCTTTCTCACTAAACCCCTCCGTTAAATCTCGGTATTTGCTGGGAATGAGTGGTCGCTCAGTCAGGGAATGGCAGCTATCTTTGCTGATTTGGTAAATGGCTTAGACCCTCCTATAACATCGGCAGATTCAAGAGGGGGCTTGGGCCCTATGGGCAATCTCACAGTCCTCATCCCCTTTTCCCATCAGATAAAGGTTTCCACTTGTCTAACCAGGCTGGGCCTAAAATCACAGCCTTAGTCATCTTTGGGGCCACCATGAAACGGATGAACTCCCAATGTTCACCTATTTCTAAGCATATAGATTCTGTCACATGGGTAACTAAAGTCCCTCCCATTAAGGACCCATCTGCCTGTTGGAGCCTCATGGGCCTGGAGAGCAATCTTGCTCATATACCCATCTTGAGGGCAACATCCTGAGTCCACTAGCACTTTCAGATCCATTTGTACCCCTGTCTTAGGGGCTATGAGCTTAGCAGCAAGAGAAAAAGGTGGAACGGGTCGACTCACCATTCGGTCATTCTACCCTTCGTCGTCACTGTCATAGGAGGGCAGAGTGGTGGTAGGATCAGCTTGGGCCTCAGAGTTCTCCTGTGTGGGCGACGTGACCTGGGTAACGGGTAACAGCTTGATTTTTCTTTTGCAGGCTGCTGGGCTGGTTTCTTCCTTACCGGTGGCCCCAATCTACTTCCCTAATGGGGGTACTGGATCAGACAATTAGCCGCTTGGTGCCCCTGTTGTCCACAACTGAAGCATTTGATTGGTGGACTGGCAGGTGGCTTGGGGGTTTCCTTGGCTGTGATGGCTGGGAGTCTTTGTGGAGGTGGCTGCCTGGTCTACTCTGGTTTCAGCTTGGCTTCTGGAAGGGACAGTTTCTTGTAATGAGCAAGCTCGATGTCCAATTTCATTTGCAGAGAGAGAGACAGAGACACAGAGAGGCACTTGCACTTCCCTTCTCTCTCTCTCTCTCTCTCTCTCTCTGTGTGTGTGTCTGCTCTTCTCGGACAAGCTGACAAGCTTATTGGGCAGGACTCCTGTGCTGCGTCTCAGCAGGAAGCAGCAAGCAGCAGCTCTCTCCCTCACACACACACACACACTGAGTGGGGGAAGAGGACTGGCTGACCAAGGGCAGGAGAGAGCCAGCCCAATAAGAATGTGTGTCAGCTTGTCGGAGAACAACATGAAGCCAGCTTGCCAGGTGAGCAGAAGATCGGAAAGAGGGAGGGGGGGAGAGAGGGAGGGAGACAAAGAGAGGGAGAGGGAGAGAGAGAGAACTCATGCCTAGCAGCTTCTATTTCTTTTTAATTAAACTCTTCAATCAAGATCCCCCTCCCTCGCATGTGCGCAGGTTTTACGGCTCATAGTGTTTTCTCTGAGAAACGGGTCCAAGTGGCTCTTTGAGTGTTTAAGGTTGCTGACCCCTGCACTAGGGATTGCTCAGGCCACCTTTCAATCCGACCTGCTATTTTGCAAAACTCTCGTACATACTCCAACGCAGGTCTACCATCTTGCTTTATGTTGTGAATTTGCTTCTCTTCTTTGAGGGCTATGGATTGGTCCTCGAACCTGGCCCTCAATCCAAGGAGGAAGAGATGGAGATTTTTCAGTTCAGGTGCTTGCTAGTTGTACAGATTGTTTAGTCACTCAAGATGTTTCCTCTTCCAGATTAGCCACGAGAATGTCAACCATAGCAACTGGATCTGGGTAAAAATTGGCATTGTGATTCATGTGGGAACGTACTTGATTAAGGAAGAAAATCAGCTTCTCTGGATAACCATCAAAAATTGCTTTAAGGGGTGGTGCCATCATGGGCTGCTGTCCCCCCATTGCTGTTGCACTCCCAATGGCTGTTGACCTCCCAATGGTAGCTGTGGCATTCCCAATTGCTGCAGGCCCCCCCAGTGGCTGCTGTACATTCAGGGGCTGCTGCCACCTCCATTGCTGCTGCACTCCCAATGGTTGTTGACCTCCCAGCGGCACCAGCGGCATCCCCAATTGCTGCAGGCCTCCCAGTGGCTATGGCGCCCCAACCTGTTGCTGTCTTTCCAACAGGTCACGCAGCTGTTGAATCAAATCTCATTGAATGCCCACATTTGGATCTTCTTCCTGTGCAGGCCTCGGGCTTGGGCGGCATTGATGATGATGCTCAGGGCTGTGTGACCAATAGTAATGATGATCAGGGCTCCCTCGATACCTGTGACAATCCCGGCTTCGACTGTACTGGTGGTGGCTCGGGCTTCGGTAGCGAGGGTGTCTGTTGGGGCTGTCATCGTAGTCCTGCCATCTGGAACTATTGCGATGGCGGCAACTGTCGGGAGATCGTGATGATCAACGCTGACCAGACTTCTCTGGTGGCTGGGGCTCTTGTGTCACGAGCAGCGCTCTGGAGTTCTAGAGGAGCGGTGACGATCCGGACTGTTGTGTCCCGAGTTGCAGCCGAGACTCTCCTTTTTTACTGGGCTGGAGGTTACTGCTGGTGGCTTTGAATGCAGGGAAGCTGCTCGCTCTCCGTCGGTGGGGCTGGGGCTTCTCTTAGGCACAGATTGGCATCAGGTCATTGTGTTCACTTGCAGGCAAGGATGGGAGAGTTGTTCCCCGCTTCTCATCTCTAGCCCCTCGAATCTCTCCACTAACTTCTCCACCAATTGGCTGTGGACTGCAGATAGGTACTTCCATTCTCCAGAGTCCTCAATGGCTGCCAATCTCTTGGCTTCCAGTTGGTCCAGGAAGCATGATTCTCGAGAGGTTCCTGCCTGCAAGCCGGCTTGAGGAATTTTCAAAGAGCTCATCTTCAGCAGGGTTGCCTCAAGATGCTTGGAGTCTCTGCTGGGCAAGGTCCATTCCCTAGACCAGATCAGTTCTCACATCTTTGGTCTTGCCCCCATTTCCAAACTTTCTTTCTCTGCTGGTGCGATGGCTTGCGCTCCCTTCACCGAGGCAGCAGCTTTGGCTGGGGTGCTAGTTACAGGCGCTTCTTCCTTTTTTATCCTGAGATCTTCCCCGAGTCTTTATCAGCCTATCCCTCAACGTAGGAAAGGTGACAGCTCAGGACCTGAAGGTGGTCAAGATAGAAAGTAGTTTTGGGTTAATGTCATGGTTCCGGTAGATGAAACCCATTAAAGAACTTTAAGGCAAGAATTCTTCCTTAGAAAACATTTTATTCAGGAAACAAAGTATCGGCACTACATTGTTGAACCCAAAACTAGATTCCTTCCCCCCCCAGATACAAAGTAACAAGTTGTAAGTTCCACCCCCACAAAGCAGTCATAAATCACATTCTCCAATTAGCCTGGAGCACAGGCTCTCTCCCCAGCTCCTCAGCCCGCCAAAACGCTATCTGTTTGTGTTCTTGAGTTTCCACGGAGCTGCATTATTATTATTATGGCTAGCTGAGCTCAAGCATTCTCCCCATCACCCTTTCAACACCTGATTTCTAAACAAAAGAAAAAACGCTAAAAATAGCTGCAATTTCCATCAGTTGTCAGAGCAGGAACATCCATTGTTATAGTGTTGACAGCCTACTGATTAATACAAAAAAAATTGTCATTAGCTGCATAGATGGTTGACCAATTGCAGTTCAGAGTTATGGACTGGTTGTTGTTTTTTTAATTTATGTTTTAAATTTAGGTATGGAGGAAACCATTGGTTATCGTGTTCTTCAGTCACTTGCTAGTTCTGGTGGTCTTCCTCCAAATGAGACCACATTTGCAAAGATATTGCAGAGACAAGGCTACAGCACAGGTTTAATAGGTAAGGATATTACATATTTGCCTGCAAATGTTTGGGTAAAAGAAAAAGCAACATATTATATGGCTTTCACTTTGGATAATTTTGATCAGAACTGTCCTTTCCACTAATACCTTTATGTGACGTTTACAAGTATAACAGAAGATTTAATTCAAGCTTGTTTGGTAAGAAGCATATGCTAATTTTTAATTTGAGAAAATATTCCATTCAATTTACGATTAACTAAACACTATAAAATTAATTTGTTTCAATTGATAAACTGTGCTGAAATTATTCTATAAGGATTAAATGGAAGTTAGAAACTGGGATTATTATTATGTTATCTCACAAGAGAAAATACATTCATTATAATTTAGCGGTCACAGAATATTTTATACATTTTCAACCCAAGTTTTAAAATATCTGACAAATGACATACTTACAAACAAAATTCAAAAAATTAATAAATTAATAATCACATGTTACTGACTACAGTACCGTAAGTATGATTTTAAGAGCCACCACAAAATGAATAAAACAAATCGCTTAATAAAGTTTTCAAAAAATCTTGAAAGTTCATCTAAAATTTAGAAACATTGAAGTTTTTTTTTTAACAACCATGATACCAAGTGATTTCCATCCTGACAACTATCATTGTGATTCTGGACTGCTCGGGAAGATGTTAAGGGCATTAGATTGTAGGGGAAACATATTTTTAGAGAGGATGCATATCTTTCCTCTACAAGAGTAACATTACAAAGTTTAATTTTCAAATGTTAATTTTATAGAGAAATATATGCTTCCTTTACAAAACCAATAATAATTGTTTTAAAGTTATACAAAAAGTAACGGGGCATGATGTCTCAGTGGTTAAAGACACTGAGTTTGTCAGCTGGAAGCTGACAGCCCAGATTCAAGATCCAAGCACTGCACTATGGGGTGAGCTCTTGTTCCTGCCCCAGCTCCTGTCCACCTAGCAGTTTGAAAGTGGGCAAATGAGAGTAGATTAATAGGTCCACTTCGGTGGAAAGGTAACAACATTCCATGTACTTTGGCATATAGTCAGGCTGGCCATATGACCACAGAAATATCTTTGGACAACACTGGCTTTCTCTGCTAAGAAACAGAGATAAGAAACAGAGACACTGCGCCCTAGAGTCAGACATGACTGAAAGGGAAACTCTTTACCTTTATCTTTTACATAAAATCAGTAACACTGAAATTGTATGAAAGTGTAAGAAGGGAGGGAGCAATTTTGAAGAATCTTGGATCTAAAGAATGTTAAGTAAACCATCTTTATAAAAATAAAGCAAAACCTACTGTAGTATGGATATAATTGGTACGTAAATGAAGAATCCCATAGTTTGTTAGAAACAAGTGGGCTACCTCTTTGGGAAGGATTATCAATAGAAAATAATAAAAATTTTAGGAATAATGATTCATACAAATTAAAAATATTTAATCCCATCATATCTATACTATGATTGATATATACATGTTAGGTTTCCAAGAAAATAAGGTCTTGTCTAGCATCTTCCTTCTTCTGAAGATCAAAATGGTTAAGATTAAACAAGACTTCTAATAATGCTTTAATATTTTGATTAAAATTACTTTATTTTAATTGAAAGATTAAAGATGGTTAGAAGTCATTAGACATTTATATCTGTGAAAGATCCTTTGTACCATATTTTTAATTATTCCTAGATGATGATGATTGGTCACAGAGTCAGCCAGATGTTTGCCTTGCCATGCCTTTTTTTCTATTTTTCGTCTTGGAGGCCAGTTTGGTTATTATGTTTTAATTAATAGTTATACATTATTTTGGATTACTGAAAAGCAGTTGGTACTTTTTAAGAGTACATAACATATAACAATAATGAACATACATACAAATGTGTGATTGTATATATATACAATAAAATTGTAGCCAATTTTCTCTCCTGATTCTGCAAAAATAGGATATGTTTGAAATGAATAAGGAAATATAAAAAGTTGTGGTTAAACTAAGCCTGTCTTTGTTACTGATATTGATATTCATATCTGCTTTGCTTGTTTTTTGTTATGTCTTTTTTATTATATATTTCAGGAAAGTGGCATCAAGGCATGAATTGTGAATACCGTAACGACTACTGCCATCATCCATTAAATCATGGATTTGATTATTTTTATGGGATGCCATTTTCACTAATGAATGACTGTCAAATCTCGCATCTCTCTGAGTTGGATCTGCCACAGCAGAAGAAACTCTGGCTTTATACTCAGATAATTACCCTTGCTCTTCTGACCTGTGTAGCAGCAAAACTAAATCATCTTGTTTCTCTCAGTTGGAAAGCCATCTTCTCTTTGGCTTTGTTTCACTTCTTCTTCTTTGTTTCCTGGTACTCAAGATTTGGTTTTGTGAGATATTGGGAATGTATTATAATGAGAAACTATGACATTATAGAGCAGCCAATGAAAGTAGAAAGAGCTGCACTTCTTATGCTAAAAGAGGCCATTTCCTTTATTAAAAGGTATATTTTTTTGTGCTGGGAAAACTTTATTTTATTTAATAATTCAGAACAAGAAGAAATAATAATAAAGAAAGGCATTAAAATTATTTATCTGCTACATGTGGACACTATGTAGACCTTATACAGATACAGATTGGAAGGATGAATGGAAAGAAAGAAAGAAAGAAAGAAAGAAAGAAAGAAAGAAAGAAAGAAAGAAAGAAAGAAAGAAAGAAAGAAAGAAAAGAAAAAAGATTTTATGCAACAGTATCAATAAGGCCCTGGAGAAAAAGAGCAAAGCTCTTCTCTTTGCCATCTGAAGCGGGTGCTGAGGTCAACCCTGCAGGAAGTGATCCACTCCTCCATGCAAAATCTTAAGAGCTTTGCAGAATCATTGGGGAAGGGGATTCTGGCCTATCTCACCCAGCTCCAGCTGGCTTAGCATCCTCCTTGAAGCTTACCATCCTTCCATACAAAGGAATACAACGCTGGGAGGAGAAGTGGCCGCAAATGGGGCTGCCATTTCCAGAATGGAAAAGGGAGACGGGGCGATGCAGGGCAGCGAGTGTAGACCAATGATTGCTATGGGAAGGAAGGAAGGAAGGAAGGAAGGAAGGAAGGAAGGAAGGAAGGAAGACTTAAGGACACCTGGGAAGGCGAAGAAAGCTAACGTAAGTCACTTTTCTCCCTTTCCCAACTGGGATGAAAGCAGCCCACATGGGCTGCTGCTTCATGCAAGTGGGTGTGACCGAGGCTCCCCAGGGCCACTTGAGTAGTTTTGTTCCTGGGTGGTGGTGGGTGAAATTGACCACCCTGCAGCAGTTTTCCACCTCTGCATCTCCCTCAGACAGCTAACTCCCCCCCCCCGTACCTTTACATGTCCTAAAGTCACTCTTTGGGCTCTATCCTAACCCCTGGAGACACATTTGTCTGGCGTAAAAACTTTGGTCAGCATCACAGCAAAAGCTGCCCCCCTCCCCGTTCTCCATTCTCTCGAGTGGCGGCGACGGAGGGCTGGCAGAAGGATACCAGGGCTGGTGGAGGGAGGTGGCACCTTGTGTCACCCAGTCACAGCTTAAGCTACGGGAGAGTTGGTGGAGGAAAAGGAGGCAGCTGCCACCAGGCAGGTGATCAGTGGGGAGAAGTGGGTGGCGGAGACCAAAGAAAGCCCCTCCAGCAGCAGATGCAGCAGCAATGGAACCTTTTGCCATCACTCTCCTTGCACCGAAACGGCAGAGGGGGACCAGGTAAGGTGACTGAGCCTCCCCCACCCATCCTCCATAGCATGGCAGTCTGGCTCAGGAGGGGAGTGAAAGGGAAGAGCCAGGCAGGCAGCTGGGTCATTGAACGGGTAGGGGAGGTCACAGAGCAGGGTGTGGCCTGGCTGCGGGGGGCCCTGAAGTGTGCAGATGCGGGCATGTGGGGCAGCTCCACCCAAAAAAATAAGACATTCCCTAAAAATAAGTCCTAATGCATCTTTTGGTGCCAAAAAATATATAAAATCGGATCTTATTTTCTGGGAAATACAATATATCCCTTACAAAGCAAGTAAACTTGAAATACTACAGAAACAAGGAAGCATATTGAATTTTCATAAATGAGAACATAGGATTATTGGTGGTTTGGTTCAAAGCATCAAGTATTAATAGTACAATTGTTTTGCGAAATATTAATTGCCCCTCCCCCAAATAATTTCATTGAATAATTATTAAAGGCAACATTTCCTTATTTTTTAGAAAGAAACAAGGTCCATTTCTCCTCCTAGTTTCTTTCTTGCATGTTCATACACCTCTGGTTACTACAGAAAATTTCATTGGCAAGAGCAATCATGGATTATATGGTGACAATGTAGAAGAGATGGATTGGATGGTGGGTAGGTACATCTTAGTTATATTATTGATTTTATTTCTAGGCTGTCATATACCGTACTTTCCGGTGTATAAGATGACTTTTGCAAGCATTAAAATCGGCGCTGAAGCCGGGGGTCATCTTATACGCCGAGTCGTCTTATACGCCGGAAATTATGGTAGTTTCTGGCGTATAAGACGACTTTCTAGGCATGTGACTCGGCGCCGAAAACGGGGGTCGTCTACGCCGGGTCGCCTTATACGCCGGAATATACAGTATATCAAAATATACAGTACCTCAAAATTGTGTATCTATATGTGTAACTACAATTAATAAAGCAATTAACTCATTCAAATGTTATACTAAGAGTAAGAATTATGTAATATTTATGTAAAAGCATACTTTTGTTAATTTTGTTATGCTGGATCCTGATTCTACAGTTGTTGAAATTAATTTTTTCTTCTTTTTTAAATACACATTGGGTTTTTTTTTAATTTTAACATCAAAGTGCTCAGGAAAACACTGTGGTGAAAGGGTAATCAATCATAGCAAAACAAGTCATATATATATATAAAACTAAAATTAATACCTTAAAAATTCCTCCCTCTATTTCCCTCACATGATATAATAAATTTAGTTTAATCTATTTCTTCTTAAAATTCAATCAATCCACAGAATCATCCCTACTATTACATCTACATAAATCACTCCTGCTTTTTTTTTTTATTGAAAATTTTTATAAATTTTTACAAAAAAACAAAATAACAATACAAAAACGAAAAACAACATATACAAAAAAGCTAAACATGACATAACAAAATTCCCCTTCCCCGACCCCCCCCAAAACACCCCCCCTTCCCCCCCCCCTGAGCTTCCCAGAGCAGAATATAGGCTTAATTAAAAAAGAATTTAAAAAGTTATATATATATATATATATATATATAAAAAGAAAATATAACACTGAGATATATGTATATATATATAAAAATAAAAGTTATGAAAAAGCTATGTGATATTTTTTATATCCAATTTAAATTGTATAAATTTTATCCATTTATCCCAAACAGCAAGAAATTTCTCTTGCGTTTGTTCCTTTAAAAAAGCTGAAATCTTTGCCATTTCCGCCAAATAAGACACTTTAAGGAACCATTCCTGCATTGTAGGCAAAGATTCCTTCTTCCAGTATTGTCCTACTAACAGCCTTGCGGCTGTAATCAAATTTAACATCAATATAACCTCCTTTGTATCACAATCAGTAACTATGCCTAGCAAAAATAATTGTGGAGTAAATTTTACCCTCCTTCTAAAAATTCTCTGAATATTCCACCATATCTTAATCCAGAAGGCTTTTATCTCTCTGCACGACCACCAAATGTGATAATAGGTAGCATCCAAACAACCACATCTCCAACATTTAGGCTGTAAGTCAGGGTACATGAAAGACATTTTTTGTGGATCAAGGTGCCATCTATAAAACATTTTATAAAAATTCTCCCTTAAATTCTGTGCTTGTGTAAATTTGACATTTCTCACCCAAATGGTTTCCCAGGTATCCAATGGAACTGGTTCACTAAAGTTCTGCGCCCATCTAATCATACAATCTTTAATTAATTCCGTTTCTGAGTCCAATTCAACTAGAACCCCATAAATTCTCTTAATATGAGTTTGTCTTTGATCCTTCACTTGCTTAATAAAATTTTCATCTTCTCTAAGAAAACCCACCTTACAATCCACCTTCCATCTGTCTACTAATTGCCTGTATTGAAACCAAGAATAAATAATATTTTCTTGTGCTAACTCTTCCCGTGATTTTAACTGCCAATTTTGTCCATCCCATCTGAGTAGCTGTCTGTAAGACACCATGTCCATTTTAACACCTCTTTTTATTCCTTCTATCGCATGCCAAGGTATAGCCCATACTGGTACTTTAAAATCACCTTTATAATATTTTCTCCAAATCCTAAGTAAGGAAATTCTTATAATGTGAGATTTAAAAGCCCAATCCACTTTTTTATTGAATATTAAATAGGCATGCCACCCAAAAAGTAAATCCCATCCCTCTAGATGGAGTATCTCAAGATTTGTCAAATTTACCCAGTCACTAATTAGTGTTAAAACCACCGCATCATAGTATAATTTCAAATTCGGTACCTTGAGTCCACCTCTCTCACGGAAGTCTTGCATGATTTTAAACTTAACCCTTGGCTTTTTCCCTGCCCAAATGAATTTATTAACGCCTTTCTGCCATTCACATAAATTAATCTCATTCTTCAAAATCGGTAACATTTGGAACAAAAAAAGAAACTTGGGTAGAATATTCATTTTTATCACTGCAATTCTTCCCATGAGAGATAATTGCAACTTCTCCCAATTCTTCAAGTCCTTCTGTACACTAGCCCACAACCTTTCATAGTTATTTTTAAATAATTTTACATTAGAAACAGATAACATCACCCCCAAGTATTTTACCTTATTAACAATTTCAAAACCCGTCAAGTTAACCAGAATCTGCTTCTCCTGAATAGTCATATTTTTAGGTAGGATTTTAGTCTTATTAACATTAATCTTAAAACCCGAAACCAAACCATAATAATGGATCAACTGTAATAGCTTTACTGCAGAATGGGTAGGTTGCGACAAAGTAACCACCAAGTCGTCCGCAAAAGCTCTTAACTTGTATTCTTTTTTGTTAACTTCTATTCCTTTAATTTCCTGCAACTCTCGAATTTTGATCAACAGTATTTCCAGTATTAGAACAAACAACAACGGTGATAATGGACATCCCTGCCTAGTACCTTTCTCTATTATAAAAACCTCTGACAAACCTCCATTGACAATAAGTTGTGCCGTTTGTTTTTGATATATTACCGTAAGAGCTTGTAATATCTTTTCACCAAAGTTCATCTCTTCAATTACTCTTAACATAAAATGCCAATTCAGTTGATCAAAGGCTTTTTCAGCATCTAAAAATATCAGCCCTGCGGGGACTTGGTTGTTCTTGTCTAAATATTCTAATAAATTAATGATTTGTCTAACATTGTTTTTCATGTACCTACCAGTTATAAACCCAGATTGGTCTTTATGCACAAGATGATGCACAACCCTCATAAGCCTATTTGCTAGGATTTTAACAAATATCTTATAGTCAACATTTAAAAGAGATATAGGTCTATAATTCTTTGGTAAAGTAAGATCTTGATCCTCCTTTGGAATCAAAGATATGAAAGCACTACGCCATGAAGGAGGAATCTCTGAGCCCTGTAAGATATCATTAAAAAGATCACCTAATGGTTGGATCATCTCCTCCATTAAAGCTTTATAATAAACAGCTGTCAGCCCATCCGTACCCGGTGCTTTCCCTGATTTCAATTGTTTAATTGCTATCACAATTTCCTCTTTAGTAATTAAGCCATTAATTTCATGTTTCTGATCCTCTGTCAATTTGGGAAAACTAGCCTCACTTAAGTATTTGTTTATATCTAAGATTTGCACATTAGTAGATTTGTATAGTTTTTGATAATAGTCTAAAAAGGATTTCTTGATCAATTCCTTCTGAAAAACTAATTTACCCTTATAATTTATTTTATCTATTATTCTCTGTCTCTGTTTCTTTCTTAATTGATAGGCCAACCATCTCCCTGGTTTATTGGCATTACAAAATGTATTTTGTTTCATAAACAATAAGTTAGTTGCAGCTTGATCCGCCAGCAACATATTAAATTGTGTTCTTAACAACTTTATAGATTCTTTAATGCTTTCATCTGAAGGATTTAAAATCAAAGACTTTTCTTTTAATTTAATTTCATCTTCCAATTCTTTACGTTTCTGAGTCTGCTTTTGCTTATGAAAGTTATTCATTTTTATCAAGATCCCACGCATAAATGCTTTACCTGCATCCCATACCATTGACATTGAAGTCCCCTTATACATATTTAAAGCAAAATAATCCTTTAAACACTCCTTTAACTTTTGAACATTCTTTTCTTGTCTGAATAAGTTTTCATTCACCCTCCAGGATCTTCTCTCCTCTTTTTCTTGAATCAGCTCCATCCAAACTGGACTATGATCCGTCAACGATCTAGGAAAAATCTTTACATTCTTTACTCTATTGTATAAGTCCGTTGTAATCAAAAAGAAGTCAATTCTTGAAAAGGATTGGTGTCTATCTGAAAAAAAGGTAAAGTCTCTCTCCTCTTGATTACATTCCCGCCAGTAATCCCTTAATTCCCAATCCTCCTTCATGTCAAAAAAAGCTTTAGGTAATTTTGCCTGTTTAAAAAGAGGAGAAGAACCTTTCTTATCCCTTTGTACATCTAAGACACCATTCCAATCACCCATTAGTACCACGGATCTATAGTCCAGCAAAGTTATTTTTTGATGTAACAATCTATAAAATTGTTCCTGTTGCTGATTTGGTGCATATAGTCCCACTATAAGTATTTTCTTACCATATAAACCAAGTTCAATCATCACATATCTTCCTTGGGGATCTGATTCTACCAGACAAGCTGGTAAATTTTGCTTCACATAGATAACCACTCCCCCCTTTTTCCCAGGAGCAGAAGATACAAAATGAGATCCCAGACGGGCGTTAACTAAATACTTCTGATCTTTAAGTAAAATATGAGTTTCCTGTAAGCAAATAACATCATTGTTATGTTGCTTTAAATAGTAAAAAAATTTCCTTCTTTTCTGTGGGGAATTCAAACCGTTAACATTCCAGGTCAGGAACTTTGCCATCTCCCTTAGCCAGGAGCCTGGAGATCTGCCATTGCTGCATGTGTTGCAGAACTCTTGGGTCTTACTCCTCCCACCGGCAATGAAACACTTTCGGAAGAAGATTCTTTAGTCTCTCTCTTGCGTTGCTCCTTCTCCTTACGTCTGTATGCTGCACGGGTCATCCTCTGCTCTTTAACCTCTGTTTGACGTTGCCATTCAGCTTGCAGCATCCCAGCAGAGACCAGACCTAATGCTTCAGATTGCTGTTCCAACTCTTTGCCACTCAATGGTTTCTGAACAGATGAA